TAGAAGTTGTTGTTCACAAGGTAATGACGGTCATGAAAGGTAACCGAACGAGGGCGCCACCGAAAACACCTTTCCGCTGGAAAACTTCTCTGTCAAAGGGCAATTCCGTTCAATTCCGAAATTTATGGGCATTATGAGTGATTTACCATTAAAAAAAAACATTACTAAAAGGGACTAGTTCCCTTTTATTAGTGATCGCGGCTCGGAGGGCTCCCGAGGCTGAGAAGAACGCTGCGCGTGCGCGTTACGCCAATCAAGTGAGCACCGCTGAGCAGCCGATGTCATCTGTTACGCACGCCCGGTGAAGTAAAAAACAAACCAAAAGTAGCAAAGTTGATGACGTTTAGCTCAATGTTAGCTGCACCAGCACCTTAACCATGACTGCAGTGTTGATTGCACCTCAATTCGCCCACTAGAGTCAGCCGATGTCGGCAACTTCGCGCGTTCCAAGGTTTGCGGGACCGTTAACCCCTTTCAAATGCTATGGCTCACAAATGTGCACATCTAAAACCCTCGCATTTTTTTTATCTTGAATATATTGTATATTGAGTAATTTAAACAATTTAGTAGAATTCTATACTCCATGCCTGCCAACCGAAGTTTGTGAAGAATTATTTTACCACTATAGATAGCGAGCGGCCTTTGAAAGGTTTAAGAAGCATTTAGGCAGAACTAGGTCGTAAAATTTTACGTGTGGTCTTTCCAGGTGATACTAAAGAAAACTGCTTTTGTTTTTTGTTTTTTTTTTGGGGGGGGGAGGGGGGGGGCGACTATCGATAGTATCGATAGTCGCCAGAAATCTGACTATCGATAGTAAGGAAAACTATCGATAGTGTATCGATAGTCGACTATCGAAAAACTATCGACAGTATTATCGAGAGTCGACTTTTGAAAAAACTATCGATAGGACTATCGATAGCATTGGTAGTCACCAGAAATCTGACTATTGATAGTAAAAAACTATCGATAGTACTGTTGATAATCGACTATCCATAGTTCTGCCGGCACTATTTATAGTTCGGAAAAAACTATCGATATATATCGATAGTCAATTTATCGTTTTGCATCACCGAAGGGAGGGGGGTGGGGGGGGGGGGGGGCGGGGGGGGGGGCTTTAGAAAACGAAATTGAAGCGGAGTTGCTTTTTATACGTCACGGTGTTACCTGGCGTAACGTGATACCGTGACGTCACGTGACACTTCGACGTCACGTCACACAGGACGTCGCCTGACACTTTGACACGACGTCTCGCGACAGCCCTGCATGATAAAACACACACGGCGATCCGGTGAGAAACCTCACCCATGACGGCCTGTTGCCGATAAAATTTAAAAAAAAGAAGACATTATTGAACGTTCTTTTCAAGCGGACGCTGTCGCTGTCGCTATGCGTAATCCTCGACTCGAGGCGAACGCCGACAAGACGACAACCAGCGTGACCACCACCGAGGACTGAGATACGGCTCATTCGTTAAGAGACCATGCACTCCTACGTGTACGTGCTAGAGGAACCACCGAGAACAAACTCGCCAGGGTCCCGGCGTTCTTCCCCGAAACCTCGAACCCATTCGTGGAGGCGCGATTGCGGTGGCTGCCGCGCATACATCACAACTCGTTAGTACGGCGTGGCGGGTCCGAAGAACAGCGCAGGAAACGCGTGCAATGCATCTGCCGTACGGGCCTAGAGGGGGCAGAGAAGACAAAAGAGGAAACAGTTACGCCACGGTATAGGGTACGTCCGTATAGCGCCCCCCGTGAGGGCACACCTGTGACCAGAGGTCGGCTTCTTTTGGGCGCGTGTACAGTGACTCGGTGGGTCGTGATAAAGGGAGCTCGCTGTAACCGAGCAGAATACAGAAGTGGGGATCATAAAAGTTCTGCAACTCTGTTCCTTTCTGTGTTTTAGGGGAGAGGGAGGCGGTTTCTTCTTTTCTGCGCCGTTTACGGGGGAGGGCAAGTCATCTGCTTTTTGCGCGGGAGTTACGGTGACGTCAGACTGACGCCGCGCTCTTACTGGCTGATTAAAAGAATAAATAGTGGGTAGACCTGAAAACATCTAGCATTGAGATCTACCCACAATTTTTTTTTCAATCAGCCAATAAAAGGCTCTATGTTGTTCTGACGTCAGCGCAACTCTTGTGCAAGAAGCATACGACTTGCCCTCCGCATACCTTGCGACACTGAGGTTTTTGTTGACGTTTCGTACACGAGGCAAGCTTGTCAGTATGTTTTGTGTTTGAACTACAGTCCGTTTTACTATAGGTCCGACCGTAGCTGACGATCCAGTAGAGCAAACCAAGCAGCACCGTATGTGCATCGTCCCCGTGCTCGATGCCTCTGTGGGTATGCTATCAAAGGCGAAACCAATCACGCAGAGGAAAAGAAATGAAAGACCTTCGCAAATAAATTTTTGTAATGCGAAATTAAAGCGCAGTTCTTGAGGAGGAGCAGCGGAGGGGACAAAGGAGAGGGTATACCCTCCTCCTCCGTACCCTCTTCTCCTCCTTTCCTCTCCTCCTTCTCCTTTCCCCTCATCCTTCCCCCTCCTCCTCCTATCCACTTTTCCTCCCCAGTACCCTTCTCTCCTCCACCTGCGTACCCCCCATCCTCCTCTTCGATACCCTCCCCTCCTCCCACAGTTTCCCCGCTAAATTTAGCTGGAAAATTGACGCCACGTGGCCTAAACCCAAATTCACCTTCCCCGTTAAATTTAGCGGGGAAAATGACGTCACACGACTTCGTGTGACGTCACCCATAAACAAAATCAGTTTCTCCGCTAGATTTAGCGGAAAAATAGACGTCACGTGACCTCAACACCAATTCAATTTCCTGCTAAATTTAGCAAATGGTTACGCCGACGGCGGCGGCGCGAAACGCGCAAACGGGCGCCTATGAGCTGCGCTCTAAAAAGCGAAGGGTAGCAGGCAGAGCATTTAGTCGGCGATGGCGAATGAGCAAAGGCCATGAGCCTCCGCGACGAGGCACTTTTGGCGCTGCCTGATTCGCTCCGTCGGATCGCAGCTTCAGCTGTGGTCGAACATAAACTGAGTCGGAGATATAGACAAAACGAAATTTCAACACTTGGAAAGAATCGCCTCGTCGATATTACTCATCGCAGTCTGGGGGTTTTACACAACATGACCAACTAACACCCACCAGCTCGTCCGTGCACTAATAATGGCTTACTCGAGAATTCGATGAATTACTTTATTTGTACGATTACCGCGCTCGGCATAAACCATTGTGAGGTTTACGTTGTCGAGGCTAACGTCGCTTCCGCGCTGCTCCGACGTTATTAAGGCTGCTTGTGCGCGAGCGCGTGCAAAAAAAAGACGCAAGGTGAGGTCACGTGCTCTCGTGGCAGTACTGGGCTGCACAACCGGGGAAACTATGATGCTAGCCTTCACTAGCAAAAACTCCCGAATAATCCTTGTCCTGCAACTGTAAACATACTAATTTAATAAAACATGTCAATAGGACAAGTATGCACGCTACTCTGCCTGTGTTTATCTATTTGTTTTGCATCCTTCGGAGCTTTTTCTTCTTTGAGATATTTTTTTTAGACGAATGCGTGATTAAAAAAAGGTGCTCTGTAATAGACTCCTTTCGAAAGTCACGTGCCGATGACTGGACGGTCGCAACAACTGGTCAAAGCTAGAAGCGGAGGAGTCAATCAAAGAACGTCGCAAGTGCAACGTCACTACGCTGATCGTTTTTTTGTTTTTTTGTTTTTTGCGGGTGTTTTTGTTTTTTAATTAAAAACCAAACAAACATAAACTGTGTTTTGACGCTGCGGTGTTTGTCCGCCATTGCGCAGGGACTACACAGGTGCCAACAGAGGGCAGTCTTTCGAATGGGGTCTATATGGTTGTTCCCAGCTTGGAAAAGGGAGTTAAACACGGACCCTTTTAACTACACACGCGGAAACATTTTTTTTTCTTTTTGGTTGTATTTTGTATTATAATCCAGACACAGCCGACACTACAAACTAATGGGACCAACCAAGCAGCGTTAAAAACGCGAGTCACTAGGCCTTTTCTGTTTATGATTGGTTCAGCGACGATAGAACATGCACAGAAATTCGATGAACACCGTGATCACGGTGCACACGTCATTCATGTGGCATGTGCCCCTTCCTAGTCCGGCCGAACCGTTCCCAAGCTCTATTTTGTTGAACTACTATTTGCCATTTTACCAATATTTCACCAAAACTAAGCATATCTTCCTCAGAAAAGCTGGTGTGTGCAGCCAGTGGCGTCACTAGCCCGGGGCGGTAGCCCGCGGCGATAGCCCGCGGCGACCCCCCCCCCCCCCCCCCCTCGGTCGCCAGCCCCCCCCCCCCCCACGGCTCGTTGCCCGCTGCAGCTCCCCATATCCTGGCTCCGACCCCCCCCCCCCCCCCCCCCACCCCCCGGCCCGTCGCGACACCCCCCCAGAGCGCTGTACCCAGGGCGGTCCGCGCCCCCCCCCCCCCCCCCACCCCCCGCACCCCTTTTGTGACGCCACTGTATGTAGCTTTTAGCGTTAAAAGAGTTGCCCTTGCGAAACTCCCTTCCTCAGTCGGTATTTTATTTATTGTTGTTTCTTTCGGAGTCAAATATTTAAAAACCAGGTGCCGAATGGGTTTATAAGACCCATAGTATGAATACTTGGGAGATACCTAAGTTAAATGAGTCAAGCGTGCGCATTCGAAACAGCCAATCCACATCTGCAAAAATCAAGATAAAGAAAAAGAAGAAAAAATTTAAGTATAGGGAATTAATTTCCTTAGCTATAAACAATTTATGTAATTTTAAACGACACAAATTGTAAAAACTGGTAACTTCTTGAGCTTTCTCCATACTAGACAAAAACTCGGCCCCTTTGCAATATCCCACCCAAAACGCAAATGCGCCGCGAATAACTTCAATACCTCACTCAACAGAGGGCGCGAGGTACGCCCTGTTTTCATAATTCAACCAGTTTTTGCTCCCTACTTGCTTGTTCCGCGCACGCGCAGTACGGCCTCTTTAGTGCTAGCGAGGCGCAGCAGGTGGGTAGTGGTCGGTGTGTGTGTGTGCTTCGTGTAGCTGTTCGGCATTTAGTGAAATGGGACTGTTGAGCGAAGGTTCGCCGCTGAGTTGGCCGGAGACGAAGAAATTATCGAACCACGTCCGAGAGCATGCTGTGACACAGTTTATCAACTTGTACCGCCGCCTGAAAAACCGTGAGAACGATTGCTTGAAGTGGGGCGACGAAGTGGAATACATGCTCGTGTATTTCGATCACGTCAAGAAAACCGCCCAGGTAAGACTTCGAGCGCACGAAATACTTCCCGTACTTCAGGAGAAAGAGCACAAAGATCCGGAGCGAGTCAAATCCCTTTGGCGACCCGAGTTCGGCGCTTACATGGTCGAAGGAACGCCCGGACAGCCGTACGGTGGTCTCATATCTCATTTCAACGTGGTCGAGGCCAACATGAAGTCGCGTCGGGAAGAGGTGCTCGCGTTACTCCGGGAGGGCGAAGAACTTATCTGCGTTACGTCCTTTCCGCGCCTGGGCTGCCCTAATTTCACGAGCCCGGTGTTCAAGCCGCACCCAGGGGACAGCAACATGCGCTCGCTCTTTTTTCCGGACGAAGCGACGTTCCCGGGCCACCCCCGCTTTCGAACCCTGGTGCGGAACATCCGCGAACGAAGGGGCAAGAAGGTGGTCATCAACGTGCCCATATTCAAGGACAAGAACACGCCGAGTCCCTTCGTCGAGGATTTCTCCGCCCTCGGAGACGACGGCGAAGCAGCCAAAGCCGCCCTTCCCGACCACGTCTACATGGATTCCATGGGGTTCGGCATGGGCAACTGCTGCCTCCAGGTCACCTTTCAGGCGAGTAACATTGAGGAGGCCCGTATACTCTACGACCAGCTGGCACCCGTCTGCCCCATCATGCTTGCCCTGAGCGCAGCTTCTCCTGCCTACCGCGGTTACCTCACCGACGTCGACTGCAGGTGGAACGTCATCTGCAGTTCCGTCGACGATAGGACCGACGAAGAGCTGGGACTCAAGCCACTCTCTGAGAACCAGTTCGTCATCCGGAAGTCCCGCTACTCCACCATCGAGTGCTACATCTCGGATGCAGGCGAGAAGTACAACGACGTCAAGCTGGTCTACGACCAGAAGATCTACGACAAACTACGCTCCGAAGGCATAGACTCCCTGCTGGCGCAGCACGTGGCCCACCTTTTCATCCGAGATCCCATCAGCCTGTTCAGCGAGAAGGTGGACCAGAACGATGAATTGGACACGGACCATTTCGAGAACCTCCAGTCGACGAACTGGCACTCTATGCGCTTCAAGCCTCCACCCCCCAACACGAGCATCGGCTGGAGGGTCGAGTTCCGGCCTACGGAGCTGCAGATGACGGAGTTCGAGAATGCCGCCTACGTCGTCTTTGTGGTCCTGCTCACCCGGGCGATCCTGTCGTACAAGCTCAACTTCCTCATCCCCATCTCCAAGGTGGACGAGAACATGGAGGTGGCACAAAAGAGAGACGCCGTCAACACGCGGAAGTTTTGGTTCCGCAACGACATCCTCACCTGCCGCAGCCCTCCTATCCTGGCCCCGAACCTGAACCCGCTCTGTGCGCAGGACGAGTACCTGACCCAGATGACCATCAACGAGATTGTCAACGGGAAGCCTGGTGAATTCCCCGGGCTCGTGCCGCTCGTCCGGACCTTTGTGTCGAGCATGGACGTCGACGTCGACACGCAGTGCACCATCCAGCAGTATCTGACGCTGATCCAGAAGAGGGCGTCCGGGGAACTGATGACGACTGCCGGGTGGATCCGGAAGTTTGTCACCAGCCATGCGGATTACAAGCAAGACTCAGTCGTCACTGAAAGGATAAACTATGACCTCCTTGTACGAATGTGCAGGATCCAGCAGGGGGCCGAAGGGTGTCCCGAGCTGTTCGGAACGTCCATTAGCAGAACGAAGGCCCACATTCCAACTGCTATTCTCAATGCTCCAGGAGTTGTGAGTTCTGCCACAGGCCGTCCCTCTGCAGAAAGCCGCAAGTGAAGCCGGTCGGGCGACGAGCAAGTCTGGCGTGTACCTTCGTCACACATGTTCTGGTCTCGAGCAATTTGGTGGGATATGATTGTTGTAGTAAGCATAATTTATTTTTGTAACCTTCTTATTGAGCACTCCAATGCTGTTTGATACCTGTGCACGCCAGCCACCCGGCACATGCAAGGCCAAGTCACGACCATGCATCCGTCGCATTCATAGAAGTTATAGGTAGGGATATATAAGGAGAGATCACTATTTTTTGTGAATCTAGAAGTTGCTTAGGTTTACAGCCGGTGTAATTCCACATATGTGACTCTAGGTACAGCTATTCTAGCCACATAAAGGACACAACTAACGCTATTTGCATTAACAGTGCTGTTCTTTTTTTAATCGATGCACTTTTCTGGTCTTTCTTGTGCAATAACTGCTGCCTCATGTTACCTGCCCTTAAAATCACGATTTTTATTTTCCTAGTCAAATGAATCTTGTTCCTGGTAATGACTTTGCCCAGCAAAAGAATGGCACTTCCTCAGATATGATCCTTTAAAAAGGGTAGTAACATCTGCTTTAGCTTCTAAAATCATCTGTCTTGCAATATGCATGATTTTCATTACAGGGAGTTTATCTCTGTAGTTTTTGCAAAACTTAAGATTTTGTCCGCAGAACTTGCTTGTTTATATTTGGTGCTTGAAGGACTCGTAGGATTGATATTGATATATTAAAGAATTAATACTGATATTTTTACTATTAATCCTGAATCGCGTGTTATGCTGGGGCATTTAATACTTAATTATATTTTAGATGCCCCTGCTGTTCTGTATTAGCATAGTTGGGCTGTAGTCCAGTGATTGCGTGGGCAGTGCCTCAATTGTTTTCTTGCCAGTCTTTTTTTATGGCATATTTTGAGCTACCAAATACCGAGCTCCTTGATGAACCTTGAATTGTTACAGTGAATGCAACTGCCAACTAGTCTCACGCTAACATTCTCCCGAGTGTCCCTGAAATATAAACCCAGCCCCGTGTAGAGACTATTTTGTCGGTTTTTGTATACTTTTTTTTTGTGGAATGTTATGAGGAATAGCAGAGAGATCTTAGCACTATTTACATCATGTGTGCCAATTCTGCTATTGTCACAAACATATCAGGGAGGACTCCGTTAAGGAGACCCAGGGCCCAAGTCTACTGAAATGACACAGTTTAAAGCATCCCAGAGCGTTGTTATGTTGACTCTACCTGTTATGGAATCCAGGAATTGTGGGCTTGTGCTGCACTGCTATAATGCAGTAGATCTTTTTTTGTACTTGATTTTCGTTTGTTAATAAAATGTTATACCTTAGCTTGTGCAATTCTTCGAGCTGTGTTGAACCTTGTTTTGCCCTAGGATACGCCCCTCTGACCTGAACGAACCTGTTCGCTATCTGACAAAAGGCCAAGATAATGTGAAAGATTGCATTTAGGCACAGTGATATCACTTTCACACATTGTTCTTTTTATCTTGTACACTCATTCCCCTCTTTCTGAATTACTAGCGCATCTAGAAGCTGAAGTATGGTTCAGCTGCATTCATCTAATGGCGAACCAGTACTCCTTTATCGAGGTACAGCTCTGTTCTGCCTATTCATTTGATTTAGGGTTTTGGTTTTACCATTCTTAAATTTTTAAAAGGTCCATGAAAAGTGTATCTGGCATAGGAAATTATTTTTCTCTTCTGAGAGAAAGTGGTGTTCCTGTGGTGTACTGGTGATAAGTTCAGGGGGAGGGCAAAAGATGTTGCTCTCCTCTCTATATTCCAACAGGTAGTGGAGCACACCCAAACAGCGTGATGAGCAAGGTTGACTAGTGAAGAAACGTAAAAAAGCGCAGGCGAACTGGTGAATGGCATCCATAGTAATTGTGAGAAAAAACTGACAGAACAACGAAATCTATTCTTCGCTGTTCTGTTCGTATTTTTATTGTTCCTGCGTCTCAGGGTTACTGTGAATGAAGGTTGACTACTTTGTTGTTTCCTTCTTCATACCTATCTGTCCGTCTATCAGTTATGTGCAGATAATGGAAAAGAGGAATATTTTTGTACCCCTTCCCAATATGCTGCACATACAAAAGCCATCAGGATCGGAGCCTGAAATTGGGTTATGCACAGATTTTTTGCAGGAACACACGAACATTTTCAATCGCGTTTTCGCAAAGTGCTACCATTGTGGAGTTGCCATTTTTCCAAAAACGCTGTGTAAAAGAGGTTCCTGTACTGTGTCTTAAAATGTTTTGCGAAAAAAACATATGGTGATTAGATTACTGTAAATAAATTAAGGTTTTTATGGTACTTCTACCTGACTTTAACGAGGGTGACACATTCTGGAGGGATAAGATCGCTCATGAGGTCAAAGCTCCACGGTATCTATCTAAAGGGGCGGTGCAACGATTGTTATAATTTGTGCAAGTACCACTTAGAATGAATCCGTGTCGTTTATCACCTATGAAGCTCGTGATTTTTTTCTCCCCGCGCAAGGGTAGTCGAAAAAGAAAAAGAACGAGGTTGGCTAAGCACGGAACACGCGCTGAGTTCCAGATATTGCTAGGGTTCGGGTGTCGTCGTCATTGCAACGATTTGACACGTACCACTACCCGAATGCTTGTCGAGCTATTGATTATCAGCCCAAGTCGAGTGCTCACGGAATGGCCGGGTCCAATCAACGTTACTATAGTCTCTTTCAGGGATAGGCAGTATTTCAAATACAAGTATTTACCATAGTTTTGTTTAACCCGAGACTCGGGTATTTCGGAAAAGGGACGAGAAGAAAAGAGGCCACAAGGAGGCGACGTCTCAAGACGTTGAGACGTCGCCTCCTTGTGGCCTCTTTTCTTCTCGTCCCTTTTCCGAAATACCCCAGTCTCGGGTTAAACAAAACTATGGTTAACTTCCACCAGCTCGCCTGCACCCTTACAATTTTTTCACAAGTATTTGAAATACTTTGCGTATTTTGCATTTGTATTTAATTACAAATTGGGTAATGTATTTGACGTGTGTATTTAAATACTAAAACGTGGGTATTTCAAATACAATTGTAATTAAATACAATTTTGTGGCCGAAAATACATCCCACAAATTTATTGTCACTGTCCAGAGCGGGAAGAAAACTACGTTCTGCACCGAATGCAGTGTCTCTCAATCAAGCAGAAGCGTTTAGTGACTTTGTGATTACGGTGCTAGTCGAGGGCAAGAATAGTGAGGAAATCGACGTTCACAGCCAGACTGGCTAAATACGTGCTTGTGACAACTTGTGATGCTTTCCAGCCTGATTTCCATCCATATTTTTGCCTGGAACATTCTAAATGCGCGGGTCGTCCAGATTTTCGTAACTGGTGCGAGTTACAAAAATAAAAAATTATCTAGCTAGTGCTGCGCGTCTTGGTCCTCTCGGTTCTTTGTGGTCTATACCAAAATGTAATCGACAAAAAAAGCTGCTTGAAGCTCTGTACTTTTTTCACTTATTACGTCCAAGCTGATTACATTTTTTTCTGATTATATTTCTATTACGTTACTAGAGCCTCGTACACTAACTCCCGAGTGTGCGATGCAAAATTAAAATGAGATACCCAGAAACCCGTTGCAGGTGCCCTGAAGTCGCTGACGCAAATTTTGAGGAATGTATTTGGAAAAGTATTTGGAGGAGACCAAATACATTTGGTTGTATTTGTATCTTGTACTTAAATGCTTTTTTGGAAATGTAATTAGATTTGTAATTAAATACATTTTTGACAAAGTATTTTGTATTTGTATTTCGATACATATTTGCATGTATTTTTTGCCCATCCCTGGTCTCTTTCATACTAAGTGTACAACGGTATCAAAGCTGCTGCTTCGAGCACGGGGCTTGATCTCGCATTCTCGCGCAAACAAAACCATAGATGAAGCCGCGCACTCGCGCCAGTAGCTTTGACATCGTTGCGTACTAAGTATGAAGCGGATCAGCAACAGAACTGCCCATAGACGCTGCTAGCACGAGCAGTCCCCCCTAGGCAGAGCCGCATATACAGAGAGTTTGGCCATTTATTGGGAAGTATAGGATTCAAATGAGGAGACGCCATTGGCTGAAAGCGTGCTAGGCGCGTTTCAGACGTCTTTACAAATTCGAATGCGGCCAACCAGGAGCCGGAAATAATACCCTGGCAGTGGTAGTGACAAACGAAATTAATAAGTGCGTCGGAGTAGCTCTCGGTGACTGAAAATATGGTGCACGTGATGTTTCAATCACGGTCATCCAAAATCATGGTGGAAGAGTGCGACTAGCGTAACGATCGACATACGCCGAGGGCCGGGAATCGACCGTCCGAATGGTCTCACCAGGTTCGAGCAAAACAGAGTTCGAGTGGCACATTTGTTTCTTACATCTTTCTGCATGATCATGAACGAAAGATCGCGTGCATAATTATAATGCAATTAAATGCAAAGGTGCAAGCGAGCTGGACAAGAATGACGAAAATAATCCCTGCAGAAGGGGAAGAAAAGGGACAAAGGACAAACACAAATCTCCAAACACAGCTAGGTGACTGGTGCACGACCGAAAAAATCCGCCTGGTCCGGGTATTGAACCCGGGACCTCTCCATTACAGGTAGAGCGCTCTACCAACCCCTGGTTAGCTCAGTTGGTAGAGCGCTCCACCTGTTATGGAGAGGTCCCGGGTTCAATACCCGGACCAGGCGGATTTTTTCGGTCGCGCACCAGTCACCTAGCTGTGTTTGGAGATTTGTGTTTGTCCTTTGTCCCCCTTGTTCCCCTTCTCCAGGGATTATTTTCGTCATCACGTGCACCCTATTTTCAACCAAGAAGGGTTACTACATTTTACTCTTACCCGCATTACAACCACATATCTATGATTAAAACTGTTTCTGGCTAACACCGCTAGGGGATTCTTTTCGGCTGCAGGTTGGCCAAGAAAGCATGCCAAGCACTCTTTCTGCGTCTGGTGCACGCCCTGGCTCTGCCCGCTCCTCCCATTGACCAAACTCTCTCTATATACCAGCTCATGTTTACAAAAAAAACCAGAGCGCCCCTAACGGACGCCACCGGCGCCGCGCATGCGCGATGGAGTTTGGGCAAGAACCTCGCCGTCGCCCATAAACATACCATTGAAATGCGATGTTGTCGGCGTCGGTGTGAGTCCCCCTGCACTTTTGCGCGTTCGAATTGTTGATTCTACGTCTTCCTGGCAATGCCTGACGCCTTTAGCGGCCTCAGCGAACTTACCGAGGCTCGTTGCACCGCGAAACTTCGCGTGAATAATGTGACATGCGGCGATTCATTCCGCGTGGACGCCGATGAATGGACGCTAAAGCCTGATTCGCATGATGAGATTTCCCTCGCAATTTTCAGTCGCGACGTCACTCGGGCTGCAAGAGCGTGAACCGTAGCTGAGATGGTCGACGTCGATGCTGAAAATCGTGAGCAGAATCGGACCAAGTGAATCAGGCATAACAAGTCGGTGATGGCCACTGGTAACAATGATCAACATCTCCTTGTACCTACTGTTTACATCGAGCCTGCTTACCAACCTTCCAACGTAAGTCTTTTGAGGCCTGCACATACATTGCAAGTACCAGGCCAAAATTTAGTCTACGCGCCGGTGTCGTCTAAAGAGCAAACGACAAGCAGACGCGTTTGAAAGAGCAGACGACAGTTCGAACGGTCAGGCGGCCGTTCGAACTTGAGGACGCACTGAACGTAGTCCGCAGGTGGTCCGTACAACTTGACGGTTTTCTGCCGTTCATGTTGCAACAAAACAAATAAATCTGACGACCACAAGTATCCGTGAATTCAAACCAAAGTGCTTCCCGCCCAAGCAACCGTGGTCCGACGGCTTCTGGTTTCCGATTTTCACGGCACATATCCACGTTTTCGGACGAACCGAGCATATGAATACTGATCTTCAAACCTTTCTCGACTCTTTTGGTACAGCCCCAGTCGCGGCGTTTTGACAAGAAGGCGGGGTTTTGTCAGGTTCCTTTCAAAACAACGCAGGAATACACGTCTCACATGGGGACATCCGCCCATAGAGTTAGTACAATAAACGCTAGAGGCTCAGCTGGCGCTAGTGTCTATGGGACTTCCGGTTGCAAATTGAAGCAGACAGCATGCAGTCTACTTTTCCTGTCTTCCTGTGTATTCCTATGGGAAAACACGCGTGAATTTTGTCTCGTCGCCGGAAAATAACATGAATAACTTTTGTTATTTCGGTTGTACCGGATAGCATGTACCTTTATTAATATTGTGAAAGTGTAATTACTTTAGTTACAGCGTTTTTCCTTTACCACTGAACGATGCTAAACTTCGCTATATT